AACTACAGGCGTCGAAGCTGTACCTGCATTGGCGCCAAGGTCTCCCCTGCTTACTCGGCCACCCCCGGCACCTGCCATCTTCTGTAACTTTGCTCGCCTAATATGTCAGCTCCACCACCACCTCATGCGAACGCCGGTCTCGCACATGACCTTAACCGCCGGGGGCGACGTCATCCTCTACCAGGGCGACTCCAATCGACGCCTTGATCTCCCCCTATCGATATGCGCCGACATGACTGCGATCTACGACCTTCCCTGGAAGACTTTGCCAGCCTAGGGGCGAGACTTGGTCGGTGCGACACCGGTGATGAGCCTACGGTTTTAGCACGGAGCCGATGGGTCTGCAGACGGCCCGAGATTTGGGCCCCACCCAAAGGAGATTTGACTGTGGGCTGGCCTCGACGAAAATGACCGGCAGCAAGATGCAAAGTTGGAGAATGAAGCGGTGACTATCGTTCAAAAGATCATATCGCACCTGGTAGATGTATATGCGCATTGGATATGTCAGAGCGGTATGTCGAGCAGGATCATGCCGTCTGCGCACATCTTAGCAGCATGCGCCTATTGCTTATGGTAAGCTGGATCATGTTATTATTACATTCTTCTAGACAATCGCATGCACGCCCAGCATCGGCAATGTTGGGACCAAGGACGACAAGAAAGTTACTGAAACGCAAATGACCGGCATTAATTGGACGATGTCATATGTGTATGGATGTAGAGAGTATCCTGTAGGGCGTACATGTCGCTGACAGCAACCTGCGGCATCGATCTCACTACATACAAGGGAAAACTTGAATGAGGTTGTGCTAAAGACAGGGAAGCAGCACGCATGCTGAACAGGTCTGCAGCCTACATGAAGATGAAAACATGCAAAGTCGGTGAACTAACGTCGACGTAGGCTCCGGGGTGTATATTCTTTTCCCCTTGTAGGGCTAATGTCGTTGTGAAAGCTGGAACATGCAACACAAGTCATGAGCAATGAAGACGTAGAGAAATGCTCCATTTACTAAGGAAGATCGCTGATGATCCTTATAATTCTCTTCATATACGTGCGTGCGGTGCATCTGGCTTCACCGCATATTTCATGGAGGCCCCCATACTGGAAAAAACCTGAACCCTCTGGAGCCTACATTGACACCAGATCTTTCAATCTGTTTGTTTTGTCATAGTGTAGTCTGCAAACCACAAACTTTTCCATGTCATATCCTGTCCGTCTGCATCCGCTCCACCACCTCAGGTGAAGACATCCTCCTCCCACTTCTTCTCTCTCTTGATGAACTCCTCAGCGTCATCGGGGAAGTCCTCTTCCATGGTGTCCTCCACCGTCTGAGCCTTCTTGCCACGGGACTTGGGAGTCGCCGTCTTCTTCTTAGATGGTGTAGCGTCCTCGGAGCCGGAAGACATGTCCTTTCTCTTCTTAGGAGTAGCCTTGGAGGTTGCTGGGGTAGTCTGACCTGTACAGTGTTAGTGTTGCGTCGGTAGAAGCCTGACCAGCGTGTAGTGAAGGACTGTAAATACTTACCACCCTTCTTGGCCGGTGCCACGGGCTGGAAAGTCTCGCCTTGTTCAGCACGGGCTTTCAGCTCCTTGGCCTTAGCCGTGATCGTGCGGAACTGATGTTCGAACGAGCTCGCAGTTCGGGTGCCGTCGAGGGCTGACATCATCTCGTACTGTGCCTTGGAGATGGTGGTGCTACCTATAGCCATCAGGAGGACAGAGACGCAATCTGCTGGTACCACCTTCTGGCCACTTTCGGTGGAAGCTTTGGGAGGCATGATGAAGATTGGTAGTAGGGCTTGTAGTTGTATTGATGCTGCAAAGCGTTGGTAGCGTTGAAGAAAGGCGACCTTGGGATGCAGAAGGATGGTGCCTGAAGTGCGGTGTCAAAAGAAGAGAGTAGAAAGCCTGAGGACGAGCTGAAATAGGCAGGCGCCTTACTACTGCGCTGGCGTAGTGAGAGAAGTCGCTGTCTAAGCAAAGCGGTGGTGACGGTGAGAGCTTGTGGGGCTTTGGACAGGTTCACCACTCACCTTCACCTAGACAAGGTAAGCCCATACCAAACCAGAAGCTGGAGAAAGACCGCGCTTTCCTAGGCCACGCAAAAGTAGGATAGTGTAGCCTACCTCCATGCTAGCCATTCAGGCGACTGTCCACATCGGAGTAAGCAGGTGAGAAAATTCGGTGTATCACACTCTGGACCACCTGTTCGACCATTGAAAATTACATGTCGGCCTCATAACACACTGTGAGCCACCTCTTCGGTCATTGAAAGTTGTGTGTAATTTCAAATAACAAACATATCCCGTATCGAGCACATCACCTGTCCACGGTCTTTCTACTCGCATCTTCACTAATCATAATCGCCCATCCAAGGCTCGATGCCGATCCATCTACTATCCTCTCTCTCCTGCTCCTTTTGCATCTGCTTGAGCCGCTCCATCTGCAAACCCGAAACAAAACGTAGGCCTCCTTGTGTCGGGCCAGCGCGAAGGTTCTCGCATTCGAAGCACTCACAACACTCTGGCATAAAGAACATAGTTCCGTGACCGCACCTCTTCACCTTCTCGAAGTACCGCTCCAGAGCCTGATCAGGAGTTTCGTCCCTAGGGCAGTTTGGTGTACGAACGGCTGCGTCATATACGTCTTTCAAGGAGTACACATTGCTCCAGTATCGCTTGCTGAACATGACGTAGTTGGACTTTCTTTTCACCCCAGCTGTCCTGAGCTGGTTCTCCCTCATGTGAAAAAGACCTGCAACATCCCCGCCCGTGATCGTCATCTGCTTTCCTTGAGTGTCTTTAAATCGGGAGGTTTCCGTCTCAGGAGCTGCACTGTCCCTCCTAGAAGAGGGTTTTGTCGGCGTTTTCACCGGCTCGGCGCTGGAGGCGTGCTCTTTCCAGTATAACAGCCCCTTCTTCACAACATGCTCTCCGTCCAGGTCCTTGCATGCCTTTGGTGTTCTGAGCATCCAATTCAGGTAGCCCTCATTGCGGCCTTCTTCATGGACCTGCTTCAAGGTCTTGCCCCTGTGCTTCCCCGTCTTCAAAATGTAGTGTGTATATGGGTCGTTCGTCGCTCGAGTGCGGTACTCCTCATCGACTTCGTTTTCAAGGGTCTCGTTGGCAGGAACGAAGCTGTTCTTGTTTGGGTTTGACGAATTGCCCCAAGCCTTCTTCGGTGTCCGGTAGGGTGGCATCTTCGGTCGCGCAATACAGCGGGTACGATACGGGGGCTAATGCAGAAGCGTCGGCTGTGGTGGAGCTTTGGCCGTGCGGGAAAGATCAACCTAACTATGTCATTGTACCAGCTTTCCACAAGGTGTACACGGGTAATAGTGTACTTACTGCTAAGAGCGTATGTCAATGAATCGAATGATAGCGGTCGAGTTGAAGACAGTTATGAAGTTTATGATTGTTGAGTCTGCGACGCGGCCGCGGGAATGACGGACTGTGCCGCCGTGCGAAACCCTGGCTGTGACGTACCCTTGGTTCATCACCAATGCTGCAATTGGACACTCGACAGCTGCATACATCAAATTGCTTGTGAGATCGACAAGAATGCTATCTGTAGTTTCTTTGTTTCGCATCATGCCTACAACTTGGATGCGTCTGGCTAATCAGCGATGTGTCTCTCTGATCACGAAGCATCTTTCCGATCCATAGGAAATGCGAAGGTCAGCAGCCATCGCCGTGACAATCAGGAAGCGGGAGGCATATCGCGACGTTCGTCAGAGGCATCAACGTTGAATTCTTACACTCGATAAGAGATCGAGATCCTAGATGTTCATTCTTAACAAAACGATAAGTGCACCCCATTTGAGGGAAAAGGTATACACCTAGCTCGGCGAAGTGCAATTAATTCAAAGGAGGCTTAGAAGGCTACAATGCCTTAAACAATCTACAGCCTTGGATTTTGATCGCAATGTAGGCTTTAGGGCACCTGTTAAGGTTTCCTCTTGAATGGGGTGAATGCTAGCTTTCTTCGATCATGCCAGTTACCACCAGTGTTTAGGCGCACGGTCATCGAATTCAGAACGCGTGCATGTCGCAATGCTCGACCCTAATCTTATATTCAGGTCGAATAAGACGTTGAAGCCTAAGGAATGTGTGTAGACGCAATGTTCTTGTGTTGGAAGTGGCTGAGAAGGTGAGGGGTAGGAGCATCCATGGATGGGCAGATTGTTGCCCTTGGCCTAATCGAGCTAGTCAGTCGCGAAACTCACGTTTTCACGCGAGATAACCGCTCATTTGAGACAACATGACGTCGCACGCTACGCGTCAGAACCCTTTGACTTGAACCCCATCATTCCAATAACACCAACTGAATACTATTCTACTACCTTGCGTCATGTCAGGCGAACCGAAGTCTTCCGTGGCAGCACCGGCACCTTATTACATTTCGAAGTCGGCTATCTGTACCAACAGCAAAGGCGAGAGCATTGGTAATGGTCTTTTTGCTAACCGAAGGTTTGGTTCGGGCGAAGAGATCGCAAGCTTCACGAGGCCTCTTGTTGCTTCATTGGAGACGGAACGGCTGCTCGATACCTGTGCGAATTGTTACCTCTGGACTGAAGGTTCATCGACTGGAACAAGGTTGTATGTACCGGAAGGCGCAAAAGTGAACAAGTGTGCTGCATGCCAGATATTCCGCTACTGCAGCAAGGTACGTCGAGTTATCTGCGGGTATGTTCGTAAACTAATATGCATCAGGCATGCCAAAAGGACGCATGGAACCGGGGACATAAGCATGAGTGCAAGATGCTGAAGCCAACGGCTGGTAGACCCCTCCCCAAAGCCTTACTTGCATGTATGGAACTATTCATTAGGCGAAAGCATGGTCTGATTTCCGATGAAGAATGGGAGCTGCTTTGTCGCTTACCTTCGCACATTGACGAATTCAAGCGGAACGGAACCTACGAGAATATCGAACTCATGGCTATGGGTGTCGGTCAATTCTCGTTGTTGCAAAACCTTTTCGACAAGGACTTTGTTGCAGCGATGTATGGTCGAGTAAGTCTGTGATGGACTCTTCTAACTCTCTCACTGACATGTATGAAGGTAATGTCAAATGCTCTGACACTGATCACACCTACGTTAGATCCTCTAGGTATCATGATCGACCCTACACTCTGCCATATGAATCACTCCTGTAACCCGAACGCATACATCATGATGGACGGTCCGCGAGTAAGCATTCGTACACTCCGACCCATCAAGAAAGACAAAGAAATCTACATTTCGTACATTGATGCTACGAATCCCTACCACAGGCGACAAGAAGAGCTCCAATCCCGCTGGTTCTTTACCTGCCGCTGCGCCCAATGTCAGGAAAAGGCGACTCTCCAGGAAGACAACTGGCTGGTACCATCAAGGCCTGGATGGGTCTTGGGAGCCGAAGTTGCGTCCATGGCAGAAACTCAGGAGAAGCTGTTTGGTCTCTATGCGGAACTCCAAGCAACAGAGAGCCCCCTGCTTGTGAGAGCAGCGATCAGGCAAGCACTCAAGATATGCCATGAGGCAATGTTTCTGCCGATTTATCGACAGCCATATGCTGCACTCCGCGACGACTTGATTGTAAACCTGCTTTCCGAGGGACGTTACCAGGACGCATGGGCGCAATGTGCAAAGCGGTACAAGTACATTCTTCCCAAGCTCTACCCAGTCTCGTTCCACCCGGTCCGGGTAGTACAAACATGGCAGATGGCGATGTTGGCCGCATACCTAGCAAGTACTCCAGAGGGTGTAGGTGCACCAGAGGTGAATATGGGTCTCATTGCCATGATGTTGGTAAAGCAGGTGTTGAATGTAGCGCACCTGAGTCATGGGCCGGCTAGTGCATTCACAAAGAGTGTGAAGGCCAAAGCGGAAGAGATGACGGAAGAGCTCAAGAGGAGTATTGGAAACGCAAACAGTGATGTCATGAACAGGGAGCTTGAGGTTCAGAGAGACAGGCTGATGGAGATGGGGGATTGGGCTCAGGACGGCCAGATAGAGGAACGGGCAAAGATTCTAACTCTGCACGAGAAAGCCTTCAGTGTATGAGCACAGCCACCCCGCGCGTGCGTGTTCGTGCTATAGGCAAGGCATATAAAAGTCCACATGGCAATTCTACCTCTTACTCCTCAACAACAATACCATTTTTCACAAATTCAAAAAGCCGACCAGCAGCTCGTGATGGCTCTTCGCTTGTTCCTCTTCTTCCAAAACGTCACAGCAAAAGTTTCATGTGCGACCTGGCGACCCTGGATACCTGCATACAAACAACCGGATTATCCATAACAAAACGCATGGTGCGCATATCGATGGAAATGTGTCATCATCAAAGCTGCGCATCAATGTAACATGTTCGGACTGTTGACGGTAACATCCATGTCACCGGGATCTTCTTGCGCCGGCTAACTTCCATCTGTATGAACATCCCTTCCACAGCTCTTTCTTCCTTCCGCGAGCGCATGAATGAGAAAGTACCAAAAACGATGTACGATATATTGATGTTGCCTGTGAGTCAGCAGCGCGTTCCGAAAGCAAAACACCCTACCCGCATGTCCCTCGGAGCTAACCATCGGCTTTGGTCTATTCTCCTATGGTCTAATTCACCAAAAAAGATATGGCTCGAGTACATGTTCGGCGCCTGTGAGAGCAAGTGGAAGAAACGTCAAAAACGAACAGAACTTTTCATGTGGGACATGTTGAGCGGCGTCGTATCAAAATTGATTTGGACCAATTCCATGTTGCGTTCTGCTCTGGCAGTCGACATTAGTGCACTACCATATACAAGAAAAAAAGCTAAACAGGTCTAGAGCCTATATCAACGTTAGGTTACCTGTTGTGCATGTTTCTACGTCATCGCAGGCTGCAGACCTGTTCAGTCTTTTCCCAGGTTGATGTGGCACCGTCCACCGCGTCCATACACATCGAGTCGCAGTGCCATCGGTAATCTTGCCCTACACTGCTCCTTCTCTAAAACTCAAAAAGCTACCAACAGCAATCCATGTCCAGCACTGGGCTCTTCCATGTGCTATGCTCTGCGCCGCAGCTTCCAAATATTGAAGCTCGCGCTTACTTCGGCCATGAAAACCAGTTCAAAGTTTACAGCAATGTATTACTATCCCTATCAAAGCTCAAACTGATCCAAGCATGGGCAGTCGCTCAGCCTTCCAAAAACACATATAGCATTTGATCGTGGGTATCCTAGGAACACGGGGTGTGGACGCGTCTGCCCTGTCGATCAAGCTAGTGATACAAGGGAGTACCATGCTGCGCCATGTGATGATCTGGAGAAAGCTAACTCTAGCGGGAGTGTGTCGGCAATCATCACGACATTCATAGGTCAACCAAAAAAGGGCCTTTGAGCGGAGGCGCCGGTGCTAGATAGTGAGCGTGTCCGCCAAAGGAGTTACGTTCTGATGCAAGCGCGCTTTGCGACAGCCAGCGTCAAACTATTGTTATGGTGTTTCGATGGTTCGTGTGATCTGGTTTTGGATTGACTTGCTCGGCGAGCAGATCGAGCAGATCGACTAGATGACGTGTGAGCTGGATTGGAACAAGTGTCCGCTGGGCGAATCACATTAAGCCTGTCAAATAGAGTGGTAGGAGGGCGTGCTCGTTCCGATACTGCAAGGGAGTGGATTATGGCGTTAAGGTTTCGACGGGCTTGTCGATCGGCAAACTGTCACGCTAGACCAGGGCTGAAGAACCACGGCAGAAGCAATATAGGGTTCGAAAAGGTGAACTAGTGAGATTGGGGCTTGCATGAGATACGTGCGATGGACGCAAAACGTGCCACTATAGTAAGCCCTATGGTGTGATTGTGTAGTGCCTTGCGTCAAACCTTCGTAAATCGACGCGCGATTCGCGCCATGTTTCCCCACAGCTCGGTGAGATCGGTTTCGTAACGAGACTCAGTCGTAGTAAGAATTAATTAATTATTACGTTACCTGAGAGAATGATGCGTGATGATGTAGCCATTAGAGAGCAGATTGGTAAGATTCGTGAAATGGGTATCTATGTTGGAGAAATTGGCGTTGAGAAATGCCGCCGTACAAGAATATCGCCGAAGCGGGGGTATGCTGGATATCGCTAATCGCAAAAGTTTGTACACAAGTTGGCGTATCAGGAGCCGAGTGTTTTTGTAGCACCGGTCGATGATCGCTCAGGTTCGCACGAAGCTACCCACTGGGAGTCAGTCAATGCACGAGCTTTGCCCGCAAAGCCTATCCTCTCGACACCGCCTTTCCAAACATTGACAACCGACTTTTCTTGGGCTTACCTGCTGCCCCTCGCTGCTCCTCCCATGGTGAAACGTCATTGATCTGAAGTCGCCTACCAAGACCTAGACGTTCACGTGGAGACTCATACCAATGCTTGGAGAGCTCGGATGGCGCAATAGTAGATGGAGCAATGGAATACGAATCGTCATCGTCGTCATCGCGATCCTCTTGAAGATCATCAGTGCTGGCTAGCGACGCTTCGTACAATGTTGGTAGCGCTGGAGCTGATGGTGTCCTCCTATAGTGCGGCATGTGTGTAGACCGCTGAACTGGCGGTGGGCCCTTCGTTGCCATTGGCCGACTGAAGTTCTGGACCGGTCGCTGAGGGGCGTAGTGTGGGATAGACGATGCATCCAAGGGCGACTCGTAGATGGCGAGCGGTTCGCTTTGTCGGCGCTCTACAACAGGTTGGGGTTGGAAGAGGAAGTCATGTGAGTCGGGCACATCGCCAAAATTGTTTTCAGCAGGCGCCTGAACAGCATGAGCATCCGTTCCCCATGCTCCTTGGTTGGGCCGGTCGTTCAATTTTCGGAAGATAGTATCTGCAGTGTCCATGACGATCGTATCTGCGGATGTCGTCGAAGAGGCTGGAGAATGTGGTCGCGAGTCTACTGATCCGTCTATGCTTGGGCGATCGCTCGAAGTGGAGTTCGAGAGTCGAACTGGTGACTGCGTGGTAGAATCATAGGATGCGCCAGCGCTCTCTGATCTGGGAGGTAACGCGACAGACGCAGCGGGGTCATCCGGGAAATAGTAGGACATCTCCGGGAGCGTGGTAGTTGATGGCGAGGATCCGAGGCCAGAAGCTCCATCTCGAATAGTAAGGTTTGATATGGAGGCAGATGCGACAGAGTTGGGTGGGTTACGGGTGCCGTCTGTCATGACAGAGAATCTCGACTCGTTCCAGGGCGCGTTCTTGAGAGGCGAGCCAAAGGAGCCCTTGGACGATACGCTGATTCTATTGTCCTTGCTGTATGCGCTTGTTGTTGAGTACCGGTTTTTGACGGATTCAGGAACCCCGTCCCATTTTGAATTGACCTTGGGGACAGAATTTGGGAGTTTTTGGCCGACATAGTTGCTGCTGGCTCTTGACTGCGGCGTAGAGGTTCCGGAGTTGAGGTTCTGCTTGCGCTGCTGCTCTTTGAACTGCTCCAAAGCGACTTGAGACGGTTCCTTTAAAGAGAGAAAACCGAGCACGGAGCCCTTTTTCTTCTTCTTCGATGACTTTGAGCCATTTGACGAAGAGTTGCTGGAGGATATGGAAGCCAGACTGGATGACGTCAGGGAGGTAGTGTCGAAGGACGGACGGGAGATGTTCGAAGGAGCGTTTGGATCCGGGGTCGCGGGCGGCTCTTGACTATAAGCAGAGTCGGGCCCAGAGTCCTGGGAAGCAGAGTCGGCGATGGAAAGGCTGTCGGACGGAAGCGGATTTCTGTACTTCAGCTTGGGCATGCGCGCCAGCGGGGACTGTGCTGTTAAGTCTGCATTCGGAGCCATGGCTAACGAAAGTGATTTCGGTCGGGTGGGCCCTTAGGGTTTAGCGGCCAGTCAGTGCCAGTTTGATCGTCGTTTGATTGGCAGGCCGTCGCTAAGGCGTAGCGCATGTCATGCAGGTGCAGGTAGCGGACAGTAGTCGAGGGTCGAGAAGTGAGGAATTTGAGTGGCATTTGGAAGGATGATATGGAGGTGGAGAGGTGAGGGTCGAGGACGGGACGGCAGATGAGGGAAATGGGCGTGCCTGTACCGAGCTGGAGAGTCTGCAAGTAGAAGGCGCAATTGAGGGCTCCAAGGCTAGCAAAAAGCAAGAGCGACTCACCGTGGAGGACGCAGGCTGGGACGGGTACGCTACGCTTCAAGAGACGTGATTCTGATGGCTATCCACGCGGCACTGCCTATCAGAGTATTGCTATTGGCGGGCTGAGCATGGCGTTTTGGTGGATTACTTGGGTGGCTTCTCGCTCTGGCGCTGACCCTTGCAGGCGTTCGGCTGCGTAAGACTCTCATCTGCGAGGATGTCGCCGGACTAGACGGACGCGTTTTGCGACATGCAAATTGGCAATCAGAGGGCAGATCTTGAACGCCGTTATGTCGGCTGTGGGTTGGCAGTTGCTTCAGAGGAGCGCACTGACACTGCCTCGTGCCGATGCCGTCTTTAGCCCTTACTTTGTCTCTCCTATATCCCTCAAGGAACTTGCCATTCTGTTCGACCAGACCGCATGGAGGTCGGATAGACATGACGAGATTCAGACGTCGGGAATAGCGGCGCGTCACGCAATCGCTGTCTGAGAATGCCACGCACGGCCACAAGCAAGTGCAACCGAGGTCAGTGTGCAACTGGCATCGTGATGGTGTAGACGGAGTACTCGGAGCGCGGATTACCATGTTCGGACACTCCTTTCTGGTCGCAGCTGAATAGTAGTATGATGGACATTGGATATACCCTTCCAATACTACAGACCATCATGTGACACTCTTACTCGAATACGACAGACGAGGCTCAAGATCTCTTCTGCTAATCTCATCGAGTGTTGTCGGCGGACTGTGTGACGTGTGGCGGTTGATGTTGGATGGCCGGCTTTGTTACAAGATAGACGAGATCGACTCCCGTACAGCCGAATCGCAGCCAAAGAAATTATCGCCCGCAGGCCGGCTCCGCACAACCCTCGCACTCATCTCGCGACGTGTCGACAGCAGCAGCCAGCGTGGGCGTTCCCGCGCACAATCTTGCACGACCGACATCCCCCTCGCAAATCGCACCTGGCATGGACGGCC